GGTTTTGACTTACAGAGGTGACTAACAAACCCCAGTGTTCAATTTGATGCTAACAGTTACAGAGTAGCTTCCATAGAAGGTGGGTAACAATGAAGTTGTAGTCTCTATTTTGGGTATTGAAAAAAATTCAATGAGAGACAGAGACAATCAAAGTGAGGGTTCTAAAAATTTCACAACACATGAATTTGGGTCATCATCTTTTTCCAATGAATTTGGGTCATCATCTTTTTTCAAGCTTACTCGCAACTTTTCCAACTCAATTTCATTTCATTTCTACTTCCTAACTCAGTTGTCCATTTTTGCATGAATATTTCAAAGTTTCAACCTTTTGCACTCTAAGTGTTTCTGGTTTTGACTTACAGAGGTGACTAACAAACCCCAGTGTTCAATTTGATGCTAACAGTTACAGAGTAGCTTCCATAGAAGGTGGGTAACAATGAAGTTGTAGTCTCCATTTTGGGTATTGAAGAAAATTCAATGAGAGACAGAGACAATCAAAGTGAGGGTTCTAAAAATTTCACAACACATGAATTTGGGTCATCATCTTTTTCCAAAGAATGCCCATGAACACTGAAGCTACAAATCATCAAATTATTTACCTCAAACCCAAATCCAAATATATGAAGCAAGAATTTTCACAAAAACAACAAAACCATAAAGAAAATGCAAAACATTTGGGTAGTGTAATGTTCAAAAAGCTACGTAGAAACTAAAGGCTAAGAAAGAAAGAGAAATTAGAGATATGAGAGAGAGAAACTAGAAGCTAATTTATTTCTTTTCTATGGAGATTCAACACTGTGAATTTGTACTGTGAATTTGTGGCTTGAATTTTAGAGAGAGAAAGTGGGTTTGCTTCAAATTTGTTCCCCTACTCCGACGGCTTCCTATCTTCGGCGTCCTTTCTTCCACTTCTGTTCCTTTTTATTCTCTATTTTTCTCTCGGCGTCCTCTTCTTACCTTTCCCTCGTCTATTCCTCCTTTCTCTTTTTTTCTTCTACTATCTTCCTTCCTCTTTTAGTTTCAGAGAGAAAATAGAGGGGGAAAAAAAAAGTGTCAAAACAACGTCGTTTTAACATTTCGGGCCTTTCGAGCCTCAGCAGTTTCAAGCTATGAAGCATTTTTGAAATAAAAAATGCATGTTGATGTGATTTTGTTAGAAAAAAGTAAGCCTTAGAATGTGTCATCTAAGAAAAAGAAAAACAATACTTTAATATATATACTAGTAGGTGACCTGTGCGATTCACGGGAATTGATTTTTAAAATGAAAAAATGATTTTGAGTCTTAATATTTTATGGGTAAAAAATTTTAACGATTGAAAACCAAATATAAACAAATTTGCTAATGGTTGATGAATTTTTTTGTCACTGTGTGCGATTTTATGTAAAAAGCTCAAAAAAGCAATTTCTTTCAAAGTTATTATAAAAAAAAAGAGTTGCATTCTCAACTTGAAGTTAAATCATCGTTTGTGTTAATCAAGTTTATCAAAAATCATGAATTCCACTTGTATCAAAATATTTTTTTTTTCTGAAAAAAATAAAAATAATAAAAAATTCTATAATATACAACTTATGACTTAATTATACCTAATGGTGTATTATATTATGATATGTGTTACAAAAGATTAATCTTAGTTTTAATTTAAAAGAAAATAAAACTTAAATTATTTATTTTAATAATCTTAACATTATCATTCTATAAAAATGTTACTAGAATACTTACATATAATAAATTTAGTGAAATTATTTGTTTATTTTGATAATTTTAGTTCCATATATTGTGCTATAAAAATGAAATTATCATATAATGATTTTATATAATATATATTAAATTATATGATAGTAAAATTCATTTTAATATTAAAAATAGTAGTTAAATTAGAAAGAAAATTAGTAATATAAAACTAAAAGTGATTCTAATTATTTAATTTAATTTTTATATTTATTTAGAAAATAAAAATACGTAGAAATAGAACTACGCAAAATTTATTTAAAAGATTAAATACAAATATGTTGTGATTGAATTAAGAAGAAAATACATAAATTAATTATGTAGAGTGTTTTTTCTTTAATATTCTTTTTGAATGATTAATGCATATTGTATATAGGTATATAAAATTTAAATTAAATATAAATGTTTCATAATAAATAATTTAATGTCACATAAAAAATTAAATATAAAGTAATATTAAGACATCAATAAGATAAACAAAAAAATATAAAATATAAAAGAAAATTAATTTGATTAGTGTGATGTGCATAATTAAGCACATTTTGTCTTATTTATTTGTATATGAAGATAATTTTTTAAAAATATAATAATAATTAAATTAAAATATCAATTATATAAAAGAAATTTGATAACGACAAAACTAAATATACGATGAAAAATAAGTATTTATCAAATAGAGTCTATATAAAATTAGTTATTATAATTAAAATTGAGTTTTTGTAGAATTTCATATGTAAATAGGAAAAGTATGCTGAGGTGACATTTCTTAGAAAAAAAGGAAAGGAAAAATATTATATGTCGATAAATTTTTAATTTGACCCTACTTTTTTTCAATTTAAATTGTCCCTATTTTCTAAAACAATTTTTATCTTTTATTTTATACTCCATTGCATTTAAAACGGATGCGTGCGCAAAAAAAAAATAAAAAAATAAAAAGAAGAAGTAGGTCAAAATAATTATTTATTATTATTATTGGTATGAAATCGGTGAAAGTCAATAAGAATGCTTCACAAATATACAAAATTTACATAAGTATTATACAAAATAACATGATTTATTAATTTTGTTTTATGATTCATTTATCTAAAAATATAATTCATATAATTATAATCATGATTTTGCAAATCATTGTAACATTATTCAAAAAAAAATTATATAAAAAAATTAATAATCATGATTTTGCAAATCATTGTAACATTATTCAAAAAAAAATTTATATAAAAAAATTAGTAATTTAACATTTTACAGCCAATAAAATGTAATTTAGTTATCGTTTGGCTAGGGTTTTTTTAATTGACTTTTTTGAGTTGAGACTTTTTTTATTTTGGAACTAAAAAGTTTATTTGGATTGATTTTTTTAACTTTTAGATGTGACATAGGATTGTTTTGGAAAAATGGTTAAAAGTTGACTTTCTGATTTTTTTTAGTTCTTTTTGAAAAAATGTGTAAAAAAAATGATAGATGATGTGATCCAAAATGTGTTAAAAGCTGGAAGATGACTTTTAATCATCTTTCCAAAATAACCCATTTTATCTTATTAACTTATTTAGTCTATTTTGTCTTTTGTATATTTTTAGTCTACCCTAACCAAAAGAAGCCTAATGTTGTTAGGTTCTCAATTTCATTTTTTCAAATAAATTAATATAAATAAAATCTTATTTATAATTTTTTTTAAAAAAATGGTACCAAGAAAAAGGATTATTTACATCAAAACACTTCTCAACTAGCGAATATTATTTTACTCATAATTTATGAATTTACATACACTATAAAAAAATGTATCATTTTTACCTTTGCAGACTCCCTTCAAACTAGCTCCATAGGAGCATCTCTAATCCAATACTCTCAATTAGAGGATGATTTTTTATTTTTTTTCTTAAATTCAAAAAGTAAATATAGAGTATTTTATTATTCACTCAAACTCCAATCATAAATCTTAATTTTTGTCTCAAAATATTTCCCTCCAAAATATTTCGTTCGAAAAGTGAATAATTATTTTATTAATAAGTATTTATTTTTCAAAATTGTTAAATGTATTTAATATTAAACTCATTTTAAAGGTATAATTTTATTATTTTTAATAATATCAATTTATAAAAATTAAATGCACTAAAAATTATTTGTATTTTATAACACAAAACTCAAAACACGAAAGAATATGATTGGCAGATAAAGTTAAAAGGAAAAAGTATTGAGAACAAAATTGATATTTAAAAATGAATAGTGCACTTGTATGACATAAGGGATTAAAATAGTCACAAAAAATAAAATAAGTTAAAAAGTTAATAAGAATATCACATCTAAATTATAATCATTTTATTTTTTATCTCATAAAAGTAAAAAAAATTCATCCAAACGAGACTTTTAATCCCAGGCTAAATAGTCAAAAAATCAAAAAGTTAAAAAATCAACCCATATCTCAAACAACTCTAGTGTTATAGGGATTATATTCTCATTATTATTCCTCCAAATGTGGAGGATGAACCACTCACTCATCCTTTCAAATGAAAATACTTGTAAATGATGAGTTAGAGGAGCAAATCATCCAAATGTAAAGATATGAGGGTATTTGGGGAGAAGTTTTTTTTATTTTTTGGGTTAAAATAGCATTCAAAGATAAAATAGGCTAAAATAATAAATCACACAAAATGTCACATTAAATTCATAATCATTTCACTTTTTTTCTCACAAACATTATATTCAACTATAAAAAATTTAACCATCTTCCAAAATACAACTATTTTAGCTTATTAAAGTAGCCAACTTCTCAAACAGGACTATAAAGTGTGGGTTGGAGATGTATTAAGGAGCCTATTTATATAATTTTTATAATTGAGGGGGGAGAACATTGCAGGTTTATAATTGTAGGGTATAAACTGATATTCGTTAGAAAAACATTTGGCAGCTCTAATTTGAATTTATCTGAATAGTTTAAATTTGTGCATACCGAACGATCGGTGCATTACTTGTTTACCATGATTGGCACCCTTATCTATCGTGATTGTCACCTTATTACTGAACGAATGACCAAACAACCGACTCAAATAGTTCGAGTCTCATACCCATATAAGACATTAATTCAATAACTTTTTGAGATGTAAAACATTACTCAAATTCAAACATTGCTGTATTCGTTAATACTTTAGGAATCTGTAAGGTATGGGAAGGCGAAATGGAGGTGTTTGGTTTCAGGAGTTTGCTACACGGAAAATAGTCCCAATCCAGGACAAACTAAACCACTCGCATCCCCTTTTTTTTTTCGAACGAACCACTCGCATTCGAAAACCCCCCCAGAACAAATACGAGAGAGCGCCTTATCCCTCCCAGCCCCCGCTCTCACTCTCACTCTCACTACAACTTCGTCCGTCATGTCTAGAGGACCAGACCGTCTTCTGAGGAACTTGAAGCAATTCACAGACCTTCAATACAAGAACTTCACTCGTCAATATGGCCAACAATTGATAGATATCTTGGAATTCCCAATAAAGCTCGTTCTCTCTCCTTTCACGATTGCCTTCGACATTGCTGGCTCAGCTCCACGTGGGTTCGGCGTCCCTGAATTCATCTCCAAGCTCTCATATTCTGCAATCTTTGTAAGTTCTTTCTCTCATATTCTGCAATTTTTGAAGGAGCTTGTATATTTTTTTCACTGACACATGTTATTTGACGAGTGGGTTAGGCACATGTTTGTTCAATTGTTAGTGGGTTAATACGAATTTTGATTATATTGTTTTTTAATTTTTTTGTTTGTTGGATTATAAGTGATACTTGTTAATTGATCGAAATGGGTCACCAGGTGTTTGATTGTTTGTTTCTGAGAACTTTGGGTGAGTTGCAAAGCGGTTGTTTAAATGGTAATTTGAGTGATACTTGCTGATTTGCTAAAGTGGGTTGGAAAGTGTTTATTAATTTGTATCAGCAGATGTTCTCGCATTTCAGTTTGTTATTTGCTGAAATGAGAGCACTGCGCTTTTGTATGTTGCCACCTGCTTAAGTATCCTAACTGAAAATGAATCTGATAAGAATTTGAGTTTTAATTAATTGGATGGTCTCCTTTATATTGGGAAATACTGCAATTTCTGCGTCCCCTCTCTCCCGCTGTCGTCTATCCAACCCTTGCTTCTGCCCCCTTCTGTTGATTTAGATATATGTCTCGAAGGAAAAGTCTATTCATACATAAAATTCATACAAAAAACTCCGCAAGAATAATGTAGCAATGCCATTATTGTAAATAAATTCATCTTCATGGTTGTTTGTTTTAAAGTGAAATGTGCACATTGAGCCTCATCATTATGTATAAAAATTCGGTATGAATTTTTTGTTTGTATATCATTACTCTATCTTGAATATTGTTTTGTTTAGTTCAATGTCAATGTAAAATCTCACTTTTAGTATCAAATCTTGTGAATTTCATAACACAGGGTATTCTTATACCATAAAAGGTTTAATAGCCTTACAAAAAACTGTCATGTTGTTGTTGAAGTGGATGATATTTTTCTTTTATGGGTTATCTGCAGGTTGTGGCTACTCTTGGGACTTATGATATTGCATTAGAGCTCGGTAAAAAGGTGTTATGTCAGAGGTGCTTACCAATATTCCTAGAAATTTGAACAGTTCTTAGCATGTTTTGTTCTTCTTTTAGCCTATCTCAGGCCCTCAACATATGTATGGTTTCTATTTTTGATACCGTCTGGTTGATATGTAATGGCCATAATGGAAACCATAACCGGGCTCTTGTGCCTCTATGTTTGATGTGGATGATTTGGTTGGAGCGTAATTGGCAGATTTTTCAGGAGGTGGATGAACCTATGGCTCGTATGATGGATAGGCTTTTGGTGATTTTGTATAGTTGGGTTTTAGGAAAAGTGTTTGTGGATTTGTTTCTTTGTGTGGATTTCATATATACTCTTCATGTTTAGGGGTCAAATCTTTTTTCTTGTTGATTCTTTTCCTTTGTATTTGTTAGCATCGTCTTGATGCTTTTCATCGATATCATTGACTTTTATTTTTCAACATATATATATATATATATATAACTGGGTTACCTTGATATCTTGAAGTTTGTTTAGCATGTTGCCTTGGCTGTATTGTGCACGATGCACTTATGTGATAATATGACTTCATTTTACCAGTTAGAGTGAGTAGGATTGTAAGGTTTCTTTCGTGTATGATAAGAATAACAAACTATATATATATATATTATTTTTCAAAGACAATGCAAGCCTCCTTGTCATATAACCTCAACTAATTTAAGATTTATTATGCAGTTATTTAATTTTCTCTGAAAGAATGTTGATAATTATAGAAGTCAAATTTGTATTCCCTTGGTAGTAATGCAAGGTATGTATTTTGTGACTGCAGAGATTGTAGGACCTGCAATGGATGGCAGGCATTGCAGTGTACTATGTGCAAAGGCTTGGGCAAGGTGCAGTACCAAGTGAAAAATTATACCTTGAAAAGGTATATTCTGTCTCCACCCTTTTTTAAATTTTTTTTTTTTTATGGTGGCAATACATGTAGGCTTTTCTATTTCTTTTTCTTTTTCTTCATGTTAATGTTTACAAGCTTATATGCTAGAATGCATAGAGAGAAAGGTCTGGTGTGATCCAGACACATTTAGGGTTCAAAGATATGTTTATTTGCAGAAAACATTCTTATTATTATGCTACAAATCCTTAGAGTGTGAGCGCCCAAAAATTCCTGAAAACTTTTGGTTGTAAATGCAAGCCAAGTAGCAGACTTTTGCAATTCTCTGTAGCATGGGAATTTTCAATATTTTCATGAAATTTCATTTAGTTCATCCATTTCTGACTAATAGTAAAGTAAATCTCTTAATTCTAGTTTCTGGCATATCGAACATGGGGCCTCCCTGGGTGTTGGTCTCGTGGTGTGTCTGTTCATCCTTCAATATTATTAGCAATACTCAGAAAGTAGCTTCAATCAATTCAATAAAGTGTGAGATCAAATTGATATGGTCTTCGTAGGTAATTATATCTGCCCATATCAAGTTGATTCTATCTGTATCCAGTTGAATGGCCATTTATTTACACACTCCACTACATAATAATGTGGAAATAACAGGGAATGTTCATGCCGGTAAAGCTAAGGCCTCAAACCTAACTCTTATTGTAGCGTTATGATTTCTCTACTAGAAAAAATCTAGGTTAGGCCTTCAGATAAGAAAATTATGTACTCTGGCGAACAACCAATGTCTTTATGCCCATCAAAAGGACCTCAAGATGCTATCCAAAAGAAATGAGATGAAAAAATTCGAAATAACATATCTACAAAAAAGGGTACCATGTGGAAATACATTAGTTTCTTATCATGCAAAGGAATTATTTATTGGCAACCTACACAACTTATAACAATGCTTGTGTTGTATATTGTTAGAATTTCCCATCTTTACCTTCACCTACTCCACTACACACTCCACTTCACCTACCTCCACTTCACCACACACTCCACTTCACCTAACCCACTATCACCTCCACTACACCTACTACCACATTTTCTTCTATATATAGATTGTATAGGAATTGTAATGAATTAAAAATCTTGTAATACAACAATCTTGTAATCAATAATAATACATCAATTTATTTTTTTACATATATCACTAGGTTGATCGGGATTTATATATACATTGATAAGAAAGGAAGATCAGGATCTTTACAAAAGTATTATGAAGTTTTTGTCTCAAGTCATATTTAGCCTAAGCAATCTATCTTTTTTATCTTGTGTATTTTACTTCTTTGACATCTTAATGATTTCCCCTTTGTTTTGCAAAAAGCTGCTCAATAGAACTAAAGTCTCATCTTGGGTGTTGGCTGAAATGACAGTAGTCACAATGAACCTTGAATATTTTTGATGATCTCTATATATTTATAAACTTGAAGGGTAACAAAAGTAGGATCAAAATGTAGTTTTAACGACTTACGGGGGACTAGGAAGAAATTAATGAATAATGACAATGTCAGAAACCATATAGAATGCTTGGAAAAAATTATAATTAAAATTAAACTGTTATTTAGAACCTTAAGGAATGGTTTGGCCCAACAGTAAAGACGTGCCATTACCGTCTTACTCCAGACCCCACTTTAGCGGAAGCCTCGTGTATTGGATAACCTTTTTATTTATTTATTAATGCTGGTGGATTCAAGTTAGCTGTGTGTTTCACAACTTCCGATCCTTAGTCTGTCATTGGTCCCCATCATCATCATCATCATCATCATCATCATCATCATCATCATCATCATTCCCATCAGGTAGCATATCTAATCCATGTAAATGTGGTCTAGACTTTCCTTCAGTCTGGATTTTCTCACTTCTGTAGAATTCACAAAGTTACCAATGAGTTGGCTGCAATTTTTTTTGGTGATTTCTTTACAGAACAACAGGTTTGCACGTGACATGGTTTGAGCATTAAAGTTGTTATGGTGTCATTTTGAGTCACAAATTATTGTTCTTAACATCTTGTGTATATCAAGGTATATATATATCTAATATAAGAACATGGACACATTGGAGGCACTCTCGAGATGCTCTTGCTTCTGATTTCACTCTACCCCACTAAATATTTTTGTTTCCACCCAAGCCTCATCCTAACCATATTGATATAATCGTTCATCCTAATTTGTCATATATCCTCCTCCAGTGGAGAGAAGGCAACAGCTGAGAGTGTTGCAGATGCCATTTCTGAGAATCGAGCCGAGTTGTTGCACCTTCCTTCCACCATGGATCTTCATGTGCCACTGCCATCCAAAGACTGCCCAAGTTGTGATGGATCGGTAAGAGCTATTCTAGAATCATTGAAGCACATAAAATTAAATTTCCATATTTTCCCAACCCTCACAGTAATAGTTATTGGTGCTTCATTATGAACACTATTGAAACATTCCCGTACATTGAAATAGTTTTTTATTTTTTTATGACAATCTATTGCAGTGGGTGAACGGCATTAAGTTCCCAATCTTATAGTCCTCATCTTATCTAGCTTGGATTGCATTTCAATCTTGCTATGTCTTTTGTGTGGGATATATCTAAAAGTTGTAGTAGACACACATTCGGTGGTGGTGCTGACTTTGTTCATATCTCTTTTAATATATTTTCATATCTATTAACTTCTGCCTTAGACTAACTTGTACATTTTGATGATGTCTGAGTATTAAGTTCGATTTTTGTATTATTAATGTTGCAGGGTGTTATGAAATGTACTGAATGCAAAGATAAATTACAAATAAGGATTTCAGCGGATGATGTGAGTCTTTGCTATTTGATTGATTCTTTAGTTGATTCACTACTTGTGCATTCAAATGTGGCCAACTTGTCTTGACACTAGCACACTATATAAACTTCTGCGCCTTAAGTATGTGAAACTAGTACACATATGAAACTACTACATTGCTTGTTAACTTTGGAACTTAATCACATGGATTTTTTCTCAGTTCCCTTCCTCGTATTGCTTTTATTGATATTTTAACATATAAGTAGATTCATAGAGGACTTGAAATGCCTAAATTTTTATGATAGGCAGTTTATATGCCCTTCTTTTTGTTCATCTCCTTGTGCACATCGACATTAAAAGAACAAGGAATGGTTGTTGATGCAATAGTGACCGCTAGGGGCCATGTGTTTCCGTCTCTAGGATTATTCAAATGTTAGAGAAGGGAAAAGGGTAGCCTAAGACGATAGTGGAGACTCTGAGTTTGTGCCAGTTACTGCTTGGGAAATGCTGAAGACCTCCCAGGTTGACAATGGACCATAATTCTTCTCATTCTCCAATCAAATCAGGAGAGATTGCTGATTTGCTATGTTTTTGTCTCACCAATATCAAGAAGATCCACATTTCGCATTGTCATGACCAAACAATCTTGAAACTGGAAGTTTGGAATGAAAATGCTCTATAGATGAGCAAAGGGGCAAGGTGTGACTTTGGTCCCATAACTTTTTAATCACGGACAATTAGTTCAGTTTTCAGAGGAACATTTCTTTGGTGTATGCTATTTGGAGAATATCCTACTAGTTGATGAGAGATTATAAAGGATTATTAGGTTTTTCTGAATTGTAAGGTCAATTGAAATGAAAAGGGTAAATTACAAATACACCCCTTGAGATTTGATTAATATATAAATCGCCCCCTGTGGTTTTGAAAATTATATTCCACCTCCTGAGATTTCTAATTTCATAACAAATCGCTCCTTTTATTAATAAATCATCAAGTCAATTAACAGTTTTTAATGATGTTAAAAATATGTTTTAATTAATAATTTAGGTAGTTTTATTATTGTATAGGAGAGCAATTATGAATTTCATTTTTTAGTTAATTCTGTTAAATAAAAAATTCTAATAAGGGGTGTTTGTAATTTTTCAAATCACAGGGGCCAATCTGTATTTTAAGCAAACCTCAGGAGATGTATTTGTAATTTACCCAAATAAAAATAAGCAGCTTCGTCAAAATTACTGATCAAAATGGAGTGAGGTAGTTTAAACCAACCATTGCTGAAGAATATATATGAAATTGTTGTGATGATTGACTGGATTCTAGAACAATGATATAGGTATGATTTCATTTGGTTGTGCATTGGAGCAGCCTTAATTAAAGAGATTGTAAATAAGGGTATAACTAAAAAAATGATGATATGGAGGAATTATAGATTTGGTTTGAACACGTTTATGGATAAGCTTTGAATGGTTGGTGATTGGAATTCCTCTAATATGTTGTTAATATGTGAATAGTTTATAGTTTTTGTCTTAGTGGCAGGAATCGTCTCAAATGGTGACGATTTTGGGAAAGAAGCGCGATTTTGCGCTTCTGAGGAAGAATTGTAGCAAAATTGCGAATTTGAGGAGAGGGAAACGCGAATTTGATGCGAGAATGAAGCACTCTTGAGAGGGCAAGGAGAGAACCTGGTTGTTGGCTTCGATTCTCTGTTCGACAACCTTGATCTCGCGCCCTTTGACTTCCCCTTCGAAGCCCTAGTCTTCGTTCCTCTCTTCGAAGCCCTAGTCCAGAATTGCTCTAGTCTTCGAAGCCCTAGTCTTCGATTGTCTTCGTCCCTCTCTTCTCTCACTGTCGATCTCTGTTTGCTTCTTTCTCTCTCTGTCTCTGTTTGCTTCTTTCTCTCAATCTATTATCTGTTTGCTTCTCTCTTTCTGTCTCTGTCTTCATATTTGTTCTGTCTCCCTTGTGATCTATTATCACATATATAATATATATATATATATATTGTAAGAATTTATGTATTATTGATTAATGTATATTGTTTACATTTCTGTCTATTACAAATGGTTCCTTATATAGATGTAGGTGTAGTGGATGGTGTGTAGTGGATGGTGATAGTGGTGTAGTGGGTTAGGTTTAGTGGAGTAGGTGAGGTGGTAGTGGTGGTAGGTGATGGTAAATTCTAATTTATTTATTATTTATTTTAACATAATTTATTATTCCTTATTTATTATAATAAATAAAATATAATTAATAAAAATAATACATAAGTGCTCTTAATCTACGACTCCTCTAAGTGGCCACGTTCCCCTGCTCCCGCTCCCGCTCCCGCTTCCGCTTCGTGCAACTCAGGTTTTTGTACACATGTTTAACCGGTATTGTAATCTTGTCACAAGACACTAGCGTCAAGAGCTCTTTTCCAGTCTTGAACTTGGCCAATGTATGATAAAGATGAAAATCAATATGGTGAATGTGCTTCCTCCAATATGTCAAGTTTGATACTGACTTTAGGTGTTAACGGTCTGGACACATCTTTTTATTTTGTTATTTTGTGTATTTAATTGGTCCAAGTGCAACTTTTGTAATGGCTTTATGTTTAATTTTTTCCTTTTTCATTGTTTTATTATTACAAGCTTTCATCTTTATGTTATCCTTTCATTTCCTGCAGATTATGGAACCTCCATGGCAAGCCTATAATGTCCTTAGAAAGATGGAGTATCCATATGAGGCCAGTGACACATCTTTTACTCTCCCATCTATTGTTTTATAGCGAGAATATTTGAAATTTTCTTTTGCTCTCTAATTTGAGATTCGGGGATGCTATGCAGCTTAATTATTTCATTTGTCTACTGTTGGTAGAAGGTGCACTGCATGATTCTTGTAATGGAATTCATCTATAATTTGAACATTATGCATTGCCCTTCCAATGAAATAGGAAATTTTGGAGCATACTTATAGTTGTAAGACCGTGTAACAAAAATCATCAAATGTAATTTTCATTCTCTTATGATTCCGTTTGGATGTCTCTTCTTGTTAATATGTCTAGTCTTGATCTTTGTCTACTGTTTCAGCATATTGTTCACAGCATGAGAGACCCCAGCATTGCTGCATTTTGGTTGATTACTATGCCTGAGATTGTTGGAGGATTTAACTATGATGATGAAGTCAAGCAGAAAATTTGGTGGCAATACAAGGTTTCTCTTCGATTTCTTCCTTATTTTCTCAGTTCTTTAGGCATGAATATTTATATTGCAATCAGCCTTGCTTTGCTTTGCATGAATATTTATGAATCATAATTGATATCAGTGCCTATGCCTGTTGATTCAAACATCTAGGATTTTGAACTGTGTTTTTGATCAAGTATCCACGTTCATCCACACAATTTTTAGAGCCATGTTTCTCCAATACTGATTCCGTTTAAAGTTCATCAAAAACTGTAGTGGGGACTTATGCGGGTCACCAAACCCTGTAGCAAGCACTGCAATTTCTGGAACATTGAAGGTTTAAAGTTGACTTCAGAGCTATTTATCAAAAAAGAAAAAAAAAGAAGAAAAAGAAAAAAAAGATGACTTCAGAGTTGCTAGCTATATGCACACTTAAGCTATGTAAACACTTGCTTGAACAAGTACATGTATTGTATGACTTATGCCCCTCATATATTATATTCATCCCAACGGTTAGATATTGGATTTGATGATCACTGCCACTGGTCCTTGATCTTAGATTTTTTGCCAAGATCTAGGCAGAGAAGGCACAAAGCAGTCAAATCCGCAAACTGTTGTGCTCAAACTGGTCAATCATATTCTGTTTGGGCTCCTCCAATAATGAACTGCATGTAAATTTGTGCCAAGTGGCTTGAATTAGAGATCCTAGATTATAACCGATTAATTTGCAAATATCTTAAATGGTCTTGGTGAGAATTTTCAACCCTACAAGGCATATGACTAAAACCAGAACAATAAATAAATAAATAAATAAATAATCAGAATACATTTGTTAATATGTTTGGGGTAATGACGAATACTGTTTTTTTGTCCTTCCCACTTCCCAGTTTGCGTTTTCAAAGCTTATTTATTTATTTATAAGCTTAGTTCAAGTGGTCCCATTGTCTAAGATCAGGACATGTCCCTAGAAATAGAGTTTTTACTTTGTAACTGAAAGCATCTTGATCTAATTGATGGGACACCTTATTTTTCATTTTTGTCTGCTAAACATATTACCATTTACCACACACAAGAAACTGCATACTATGAAATGTTCCTTGAGCCAATAAAATAGCCAATGGAATTTGATTATTCCTCCTTTAGGGTCACTAGTTTTCAAATTTATCACATGCCTCAATCACTATTCAGCACATGATTTCTTTAGTAACTTAATATTTGTTTGATTTTTAACTTAATAATTGTATGATTTTCTGTTTTGTTTAGGAATCTATGCGGTATGATCAACTTCGGGATGTGGTAGCCAAGCGAAAACCTGGATGGGAATACTTACAAGAGGTAAGTTGATATTTTATCTGTCAATGACAAAGAGAGACCCAAATCCTTCTTTGGAATAAACCGTGCAGGATGAATGCTCATATAGAACATAATAAGATCTTCCAGTCTTTGGTAATAAACGGACACATGCAAGAGTTATCATTCATAGATTCTTGCAGACATACCTCTACTAGATATACAACTGTGGTAGGTCTGGATGAAACATTGACTTGACCCCATTTGTGCATTGTACTTATTTTATATTTATTTTACTCTGAATTACTCTGCCTGCTTTTGATGATTAAACTGTGCCGCCTGTCTTTGTTGATTGAATGATCTTCATTATTAAATATCAACATTTTCTTTAGATTTAATTTCTCATGAAATTTTGGATTGATAGTATTTGTCATTCACAGGCCCTGATCTCCATAGATCCTGTTCGTGCTAGGGATGATCCAGTTGTTGTGAAAAACATCCCTTACTTCAAAGCCAAGAAGGCACTGGAGGCAGAAGTACTGAAGCTTGATCCTCCTGCTCGACCAGAAAATTGGGGAGTAAGTTCTTTTTCTTCATGTGATGTTGCATGTTTTTTTTTAGGGAGAATTCTTCCAGTGTTTATCATTCATGGTGAGAATTAACCTGTGTGTATTTATAAGACTGCAATTTAATAACAAGAAATGGTGAAAGTCCTGTTAGTTTTGTGTGCGCTTGCAGGAATTTGTTCTATCTAAGCATTCATCTATAGTATTTCACCCGTTTTCAATAAGTGCAACATTTTGGGATAGCTATAAATGAGAAAAACAGAACAATCAGGCTAAATTTTGTCTTTTAATAAGTAACCCACTACTTTGTGTAGGCATTGGGTTGAACCTTTGTCATATGGCCACATGGGCAGCCACTTGCCATGTCATATGATAACACGTCACTTCAGAGGACTTTAAGGGAGAAATTTAGTAGATTCCATATATATTCTATTTTATGTGCCCTTCCAATTGTATAGAGCAATGTAACTAGTTTTTCCCATTTAAAGGAGAAATTTCTTTTCTAGTGCACACAGTAATCCTATGATTGTGGAGCATTTGCAGGAGATGAACCTTCCATTGAATGCATCAGCTTGGAGTAAGGAGGACCTCAAAGATCCAAAAAAATTATATGAGATGACAGTTCTTCTTAATGCCCAAAGAGAAATTGCTGATAAAATCTTGGAAGCAGAGTGGGAAACAAAGTGGCGTCAAGAAAAGGTAGTAATCGTTGCAGTATCTTTGAAGATAAATATTTGTATTAATATAGATATAAATTGTGATGCATGAACTTGATCACAATGGTGGCTCAATTGCTATCAAGATGACATCCTGATCAACATTGGTTGAGAGGGAAAAAATTTTGAGCCAACCAAAGTGCAATAGGATTAGGCTTCTGTTAAATTAAGCGTTTGATGTTGTTATTGGCTCTAAAAGGTTAGTTTTTTTACTAAGCAGACCTATGGAAATGCTGAAACACACAAACCAATATCGTTTTTGCAAATATTGTTTGATTTGTTTGAGAGTCGCAGTTTATTATTTGAGCTGTCATGACTCATGATTGGTAAGTTTGGTTCAAAAGTCTGTTATTCATTTTGATTTACAGTTGAATGAAATGTTGGAAGAGAAGGTGCGGCCATACATTCAGAACATGGACAATGGTGTCATTCCTCCGCCTATAGTAATGCAATCCCCAAAGAATCAGGATCATAAGGTTTTGCTCTAAATCTCTGTCCCTTCTTTATTATGAGCTGTTGTTGGATTATGAACTCAAAGCGAAATTGCGGTACCGACTAATTTCTGATCATGACTTTAGTTTATGCTCTTTAAATTGATTATCTATGTCTTTTTTCTTCTTTTTTTTCATTTCATGCAAGCTTTTGGTTGGGATTGAAGAAAAGTGGATCATGAAAAATGAGATAGAATAACCCACATCACATGAAAAATGAGATAAACTATAACCCACATCACTGTTGCAATTGGGGAACAAAATAATTGACATTAAATGTTTAAATTTTGTAATTATACTGCTAGCTGTTATAATGGAGTTAATTGGATTTTTCAGTCACTTCTGTGTTAAATCATATCAGTCACTTTCGTGGGTTAATTGACAATCACTTCCTGGTAATTATACTACTTTCAGTCACTTTTGTAATTATACTACTTTTCAAGCTAAACAAATAAAATTAGTGTTAGGAATTGAGGAACACCTAATAAAAAATTGGTGAGACACGAAAACATAGAAGAACAATAGACAAGTATTATAAATTACATGCACACACAAGAACATAAGATTTACGTGGTTCACCCAAAATTTGGATCGTGTCATTGTGGCGGTTTCATTATGATTAAAAAGTTAGAAAATGAGATATAGAGTGCGAAAATATCAAAGTACCCTTACTCTAGGATCCACACTACCCTTGCCAAAATACCAAAACAAGTGGTTAGTGTCAATTATTTATCATCGGCAGTATGCAAAATATACTGCATGTGTTTCTTCACTGCTTTAAAACCAAGGTTATCAAAATCCCGATCTGGATTGTCCTAAATTGCCCCAACGGTCCAAATTATTCAGACTCGTAACAGATTTTAAGATCGATCATGTAGGATTGCAAGTAGGATTGTTGGGTTGCTAAATTTTCACCTTATTTTAATATCCATCATCACTATTGGTGATTTTTCACCTTATTATTATTTTAATGGCAAATAGAATCTTACAATTCTATGATCCAACACTCGAGATTCTCTCATTGATCCCACGTAGGGTCCTGATTTTAACAACTATGTTTATAACAATTTTTAGGAGAATGGATGAATAGTATATTTCAATAGATTTTAACAATCATATTATTTGCTGCAGAGAAAACCTCGGCAGCGGAGATGGTGGTTCTTTTGATGGTTACAGCAGCAGCAAGAGCAATGCTTGAGGCCGCAACTGTATCCCTTGGCTGTGCCATGGCGACATTTTATATGTTCTTTCTGAGACTTGTTTGTCTGTGGATCTATCTTCTAGGGTTTCAATTTCTCTCATTGTTTGTTCAACGGTTACTATTCTTGTAGGGTGGCTCTGGCTTTAAAATCCCAGTGATTTTATGACTAAGGCAAGACCAGAAGAGCCAAAAGCTCCTTGCATTGGCTTAAAGAGGTTTCACAATTGTTTTTATAAGCACTTTTTATTGTCTTTAGTGAATTTTTAATTTTAAAAAAAAAGTGATTTTAATTTTAATTTTAATTTTTTATAAAATTTTGAAAATATCCGACTTCTGTTAATTAATGAAACACTCACTTTTTATAATTTAAAAATTAAATAGGCATAAATAAAGCATTAGAAACCAAAGTACAATAAAGCATATACTTTAAAAGAAAATTCTTATAAAGTTAACAAATTTTATAAATTTATGTTTACTAATTCCTATGTCATGCAATAATAAAATTTAAAGATCTAAAATAGAGTCTGTTTTAATATTATATACGTGTCATATAAATAAATAAATAAAATTGTAAAAATTATTAGTGTGTATAGGATTATTGATTTAAAAAAGAATATGATATATAATTAACAAATTATGTTTCAGTTTTTAAAATTTTATTATTACATGACAAGTAATGCCATAAAAACTAACAAATTTGACAATAATAATGCCACACTTATTACATTTATATACTATATTACATGTATTATTATCTTACTTGGCAACACAATATTGGCACATTAAAATAATATAGTAAAAATAAATAATTATTCTAACATTACTTATCTTACAAACTTTTCTTATTCTCACTTACATGGCACCGCTATGGGGTGTTTGTTTCAGCTTTTCAGAGTTAACTTATGACTTTTAGTTTTGAAAAAGTTATTTTGGACTGTTTGATTAAATTTATTTCAAACAGCTTCTGATTCTAACAGCATATTTTAACTCAAAAAAACTGATTCTGAGAAACTGCTCACCCCTTGCTTCTGATTATCAGTTTCTGCTTTGGACATGTTAATTTTTGGTTCTATTCTTAAATTTTTTTATTTTTTATTTTTTTAAAAATAGAAAAAGACTCAAATGGACTATAGATTATTATTATTATTTTTTATGAGAAATGTAGACAAACAAAAAATAAAAATTAATTGAAAAAGTTATTTCACAACTTATTTAACAAACACTATTCAGCAACTTAAATCTATAATCCAACAGCTACACCAAATAGATTAACAACTTCTGATTAAAGTGATAATCTATAATCTGTTAAGTTATAATTTATAAGCTATTTTAACAGTTACACCAAACGGGGCCTATATCATTGAAGTGAGTTATGTTACAATTTGTAAAAGTTTCCGTAACATCTATTATTATATTATTGAATCAAGTCTTATTTTAGTTTTTAAAATTTTATTATATTATTGAATCAAGTCTTATTTTAGTTTTTAAAATTTTATTATTGTTAGTAAGAAAATTTTATAAAATTTATTAATTTGTAAGTACAATTTTCCTTGATATAATTAGACTTACTTTTTTTACACAAATTTAAATATGTTTTGGAGAAATTACACAATAATAAAAAAAATAAAAACCTTAGGATTTGATCCCAATAACAAATCTGGCCCTAAATTTTTAAATGTTTCAAATTAAACCTTCAATTTTTGTTTCAATTCTAATAATCTATTAGTTAATTAGAATAATTTAGACAATTTAATCACTTTTTATCTATAGTGTTGAACGACGAAGGTGGCTATGGACAAAAAAAAAAAAAAAAAAAAAAAGCATTTTTTTTTTACTTTTTAGACACATCTAACATAAATACACTTAAAAAGTAAAAAAAATCTTTTCAAAATTCACTAAATACCAAAAATATAAAAAAAAATACAAGAATTCAGTACATTTTTTATATTTTTTTTGTATTTATTAATTTTTTAAAATATTTTTTCACAAATTTTTTATTTTCTAGATACATCTTACTAAGGTGCATCAAAAAAAGTAAAAAAAATGTTTAAAATTTAAAAAATATTCACTAAAAACAAAAGAATATAAAAACTAAAAAACTCAATTTTCAAAAAATTTACTCTAGAAAACTCAAACCAAACACACTGAATAATTTTTAAAAATTTAAGTGTTTTGAGAAGATAGATGAAATTGACTTTTTGACTTTTTAAAATTTTTTAACTTTTTTTATATGAGGAGTGATATGACTTAAAATAGGTTAAAAGTTGACTTTTTATTGAGGTTCTCAAATAACTCCTAAGAAATCTTAATTTTTTTTTAAAAAAAAATATTTTTTTATGAAAAATGTTTGGGACTCCCACAAAAGAGGACTCCTATGACCCCCACTAATGTATTGATCATTGATGTGTTTGAATTTTTTTAAAAAATTATATTTGACAGTAATATAAATGATTCAAATTAATTTAAAAATTGTGAAGTTATGTTTTATAGAGTCTCTATCCTTAATGTTTTTTTATATAATTTCTATACTTTTCATCAATGTTCACTTTTCCGTGTCGGTTGAGACGACAGTTTCTTACATATTTATCCATAAAATAATTGGTTTGAGATTGAGATTTTCTAAAGTCTCATCATAGGTTTGCCGACACAAGAGGTTTTCATTTTTTATTTTTTATTTTTTATTTTTTTTTCAGAAAAAGCCGACATAAGAGGTTGATCGCGACGATCCTGTCCTCGCATTGTTGTTTTCGTCATACGGTTCAAACACGGAGACTCCGTGAGGGAGGACAAATTATTCAATTCTCATGGATTAATTTAGGATGGCTTAAATTATATAAATTATTATTTTTATATTAAAATTTTAAAAAATAAAGTGTTAAGTGTTAATTTATGAATAAAATGACGTATTAATTTAAAAATATTGAATAATTTCTCATGCTGGAGGTAGTATGTATACAAAAATATGATATATACAAGGCGACAGCTTTGCCCCCCAAAAATTGATTAAAAAAAAATTCTAAAATACTTTTAGCTATTATACTAATTTATAATTTTTTTTTACCTAAATCTAAAAAGTCTCAACAAAATTCAATAAAGATTTAAATATAATAGTTTTTAAATTTTTTTATTTAAAAACTAATAAATGATTATTTATACTTTAAAAAAATCGAAAAGCCTTGATTTGATGAGTTAATTAAAATTAATGGATGATTATGTTCTAATTTATACATTGTGTTTAGAATATGATTAACTATGTAAGTTAAAATTGTTTCTAGAGAAAAAATAATCAAATTTAAAATTGAATAAATCTTACTTATGTCACAACAAAGATTGAATGGATTAGTAATTTTATCCATTGAAAAATATTTAGTTAATAAGTTAAATTATGCAAGTTTGATTAATAATTTTGCAACTAAAAATGTGAGAATGATAGTGTTTAAGTGATATTTTATTACAATTTGTTTACATTTTATTTAGTACTTGAGTTTATATTATTTTAATCATTTTTCTTATTGTAAACTTTTCTATATATTTAAATAAATTTTATGTCAATTTTTTTTTTTGGGAAATAATCTTTTTATTACAATTGTTATTTTTTTATAAAATGTATAAAAGACCTTTTTATCTTGAGCTTGCTTTGGGTCAAAGAAATGTCAGAGTAGGCCCTATATATATGGGCGTTAGGTCCAAAAGTCTAAATTTGAATTTTGTTTGTCCAAAGGGCCATACTTACAAATATTTTATCCTTAAGGACATGCTCAAACAAAATGACCAAATTACCTCCATTCTACATTCGTTGTTGGTTGAGTCACGCTATGCATTACTCCTTATTCCTCTTTATTTGTTCGTTTCTCTTTCTTTCACTTCATAGTCGCAAAACCAAACCCACAGTATCTCTTCTCTTCCTTCTCTTTTTCTCTCTCTTTCTCTGTCAATGACCATCACGATGGACCACTAGTTTGTCGTTGCCACGGCCAAAGCAATTGCGTCGTCGTGCCTCTCAACTTTTTCACCAGATTGATCGAGATCTCAGATCCTCTCATTGCCTCTCAGAGCCTCTTATCTCTACCATCGCGTTGTTGTGCTTTTCAACTCCAATGAACCTTGTTGTCGTCGAAGACGATCTCCTCTTGGATGAGTTATCTGTTTTTGCCGCCTCTATCTGAAACCCTAGATAATATCGACCACCGCCGATTTGAACAAATCCAGTCACGATACCGAAGTTGCCAGCTTCGTTATGATGTCCCGGGTCTTAGGCCTAAATAGTATTGTGTAGTAGGGTAGTGTGCATTACTTTCGGGGTTTTGTTTATTGTATTGAATCGTTAAGATTTCTTTTCTACTCTTACTTAACTTCTCGTAACTTTTTCTGGTTAAAATTTTTTAGGTTTAGGCTTTGGAACTTGTTTCAAAATACAAATCAAACTCTGGGTTTTTGGGCAAAATCGCTCGTACGAATTGGGAATCGTTCAAGCAGATCCTCGTAAAGTTTTTCTGGTTTTTTAGAGTTTTTTGGGTAGAAAATAGCTCGAGTGAATTTTGATGGAATTTTCTGGGCAGCTCTCTAGAGAAAATTTCGCTTGTGCAGATTTCGGCGCGTTTGTCTTGAAATTTGTGCTCTTTTCCTCAAAACTGATACCAAAAACGCGATACACACAGATGTTCACTTTTGTTTCTCTCTCTCTATACTCATCTTTTCTCTCATTTCTCTCTACAAACGCACCCAAATCTAACTTCTCTCTAAGATTTAGCTCAAATCTTCAAGAATTTGAGGGGGCTTTTTACATCAAGTCGAATAGGGCGACCAGGGCTACGTTTATAACCGATTGGATCAAGTTTTTGTCAACCTTGAATTCTAGGGTTTTCTTTCTCTTCATCTTCCAAGCTTAAGTTAAGGATAATCTTTAAGTTAAATCTATATATATTTTTGCAAGATTATGCTTGTTTGAAGCATTTATTACATGTTTGAGTTGATGAACCCTAGATGATGTTAGAAGATGATTTTATCTATTTTTTCCCAAAAATTTTGAGAATATGAGCTATGTTCTAAGGTGTGGGTGTTGTTTTGAAAAAATCTTTTCAAAAATGGAACAAAAACCTTGCTTTGGTGAAAACCCTAGGATTTGGAAATTTTGGGAAAATATGGAGATATTGTAAAATTTATACTTGATAAATTGTTATGTGAAGAAATGATGGAGAAATTTCTATGGTTGCATTAAATGAGGAAATGAAAATTGTTG